GATCACTCCACTGGGCAGTGTCGTCCTCATCCTCATCCCCATCATCGGCCAACACAATCGGAGATTAGACAGTGTGACCAGCTCGCGTTCTGTGCTCATCTAACTTCTTTTTCTCATACCTTGCACGGGCCACCTCTACGACATGGTCCTCGCTGCATCCAATCCCTTCATATATAAAATGCAACTAGTTAACAACACGATTATATTACATCTAAAATCAGGCAACGAAAATAAAAAGGCTTTCAAGCACTCACTAGCACACAATGCAACAATATGGTCATTCAAGACATACATCCGTACTCTTGTCTCCTCCCTTGCCTCCTTCCTTGCCCTTTCCTCATCTAATGCCCCCGTCTCTTCAATTCCCATTTATCAAGCCCAACATCGACCGGGTTACGAATACCGCACTGTCTAGCATTTCACGCATCTTGTTTTTATGATGTTTAACGAATAGGTTGACGTAGTTAGATCCATATTCCCTCTTTCATATAATTATTTGCCTCCCCATCAGTTCATCTAAGAACTTAGCTTGACCATGATAACATTCCCACCTGCATTTTCTAGTGCTCTGTTCAAACAAAAAAATATCATATATGTCTTAGAAAAAAAATAAAATACAATTTCATGTTTACCACAAAAATAACCAATCTCATCATAGTCATCCATATGGCCGAAATAATGGCCTATTCCAAGCTCCGAAGGGACTAGACCATAGTTGGATTTAACATCACATTCGCACTTGACTGGAGGTGCTTTATAAATTAACCTTTCTTTCTTATTTTTCTTTGCCTTTGGTGGCTCCGGCCATTGATTCTTAGGACCGTAGAGCCACTTATTGAAACGACACTTCGCAAATCCATAACGCTATAAAAGAATACATTAATACACGCACACATATAGAGATAAATATTTAAACAGATACACTTTCCACTTACTTCGTGTTTGTTCGGACACACAAACTCCAACGTATTCTTAGGGTTTATCACAGCTCGATCTCTGAATTCGCATAGAGAAGGTTTCTCGAATCGTCTAACTACGGCTAGGTACTTCTCCTTAGCTGTCATTGGCAGGGGGTTAGGGGGGGGGGGTGGAACCCACCACTGTAAGTGCTCACGTGGATGTCTTCCTCTACACCAATCATCGAAAAAGAGGTACCTAGGGTCAAACTTGTCTGCACCGTCGATCTGCTAAAAGAAAAAGCACATCTCATGGGCCTACACAACAAGATTCCAATAAAATATTAGTAGCCTACTTACACAAATGAAGAAAAAAAGATAGTGAAAACAATTACTTACATTAAAACGACTGTATGTGTAGAAGTAACGTGCCGCTGTGTCTGGATGTCTCGATTGAAACACGTCGACCGAGAAACCACAGTCACAGCTAGGGACAGGGAGGTCGGGAGGGACGGAGGCATCTTTGCTACACGCGTCGGGGTATAATTCTCGAGGTCGACTCCGTTTTCGCCAAACCTCCTCCCGATATATTTCTTACATCTAACAAAACAGTTGTAATTTAACAAACAAAAATCAAAACATCACAAATTAATGTCAATGAGAACCATTTGCATTGCAACAAATAAAATATAACCTACACTTTGGTGCAAACTCTATCTTAGATGCAAACATAGAAACTATATAAAAACTATACTTTGGTCAGTAAAAATAAAATTTGGTACATCGACAGTGTGTCCATATATTTATTCACATATAAAAGTTGAGATGCAAACTCAAACAAGCAAAATTCTTATAAAAATTGACCTTAGAATACATGGTAATCATAATTCTAACTAATCAATTAACTTTAACATTGGCAATCCTAATCCTAATCCTAATCCTTCAATCCAACGTTCTACCGAACTCATTCAAATCCTTCAATCCACCGTTGAGGCCGAGGAGGAGCTTCATTACCTTGACAAGGTCGAGGAGGAGCTTTGGGGAAGGTAGGGAGGGTGCGACCAGCGGCTACCGGCGGTGGGCGCGTGAAAGGGAAAGAAAGGAATGGAGATAGAGAGAGCCACGTTGCGGGTCTTTACTGGGCCTTCCACGCCGTGATCTGTGGCGCGGTAGAGCTGGACCACGTCACCGGTCGCTGGCACGGTGGCAGTCTGGCCGCGTTGCCATGCATGATGCGGTAGAGTGGTTTGACCACGACATGTCAATTGAGGTGTTCAAAAGTGTTAGTTTTGAAATAAAAAAATGTCACTTTTAAAAATAATTTTAAAAAAGTGTTAAAAAAAATCCCAAGCCATGGGGTCACGCGGCCGTGTGCGATGCGGACAGCGGCGACCCATCACCACCACCGGGGGGGCCGGCCAGGCATGGGCATCCACCACCCGACCCGACCCTATGCGGCGATCGGTGCGCTTTCTTTCTGCTAAGTGAGATCGATGTGTGCCCCGGGGTGGACATCTGTTGGGCCGTATGTATCGCGACAGGATGACAGCGCCGCACAGCACTGATAACTCCATTTGCAACCGAGAGGAGATGTTATGCTGTGGAGCTTCTGATTAGTCCACTACGTAGGCCACTTTGTTTATCACGCGCTGTCAGAAGAAGCATACGCAAAGGCCAACATACTCACGTGGTGCGTAGAGAGCACAGCTCTCGTGCTCGTGGATCATGGATCGGTTTGGCATGCAAACAGCGGATGCAGCGAGTAGTATTTTTCTCTCGCAACAAATCAGCTTCAGTCGGCTTATCAGCCAGCTTTAATATCAACCGAACAGATATAATTTATTATGAGAAAAAAATACCATAGATTCTAACTGATAGGTGATAAGCCGGCCGATAAGATCCGCAAGTAATCTCGTGACGACCACCCCAAAGTCGTCCCGTGTTCTGTGTTCACCCCCAAACTGTTGTGCACGTCAGTGAAGCGAAACACTCTGTGCCACTGCCAACGGCAGAAACAGGGCGCAAGGTGCCAAATCCAGCCGCCGCCGGGCAGCAGCTACAGCTAGCATGGCCGCACAAAACAGAGCTCCTGTGCCGTGCGGCCCCTCCCGAAGTCCCGTGACGGGTAGGACCTCACCTTCGAGTTCCATTCTCATCTCAAGCTGCAGAGCGGATCGCGGCGGGCCCCGCCGCCCATCGTGGTCCACCACCAGGCCAGGGACGGAGGACGGGGAGGGGCGCCGTTGCGTGTCCGTCCACGGTGCACGCGTCACCCGACGCGGCCATTCGCGTCGCAGCGTCCACTTCAGCGAACGCACGGGGCCCGAGGAGGCGATCGGGAAGGCGCCAGCGCCCAGCCAGGCGGCGGCCGTCTGCCTGAGCGCCGGCGTTCGCAAGCCGCAACGGGTACAATTCGAGTTGAGGAGAATCAGTCGCGCAGGTGGTGTCGTGGTGACGGACGCGAACGGTGCTGGCAGAAGTTGTTACGTGTTTCCGTACGGCGGCGATACGCTGAGGGAAGAAAGGATACGATGACGAGGCGAGTCTCGGCGGTGACGGACTCTGACGGTACCAAGATGCAATCATGCAGCCGCGGGATGAACACGCGGCGCCCGTGGGAGGGTGCAGGCATTCAGACACGGTAGTTTGCCTGAAATGGCTAAATGCTGGGGGGAGTAGTTTGCCTGAAGTTATCGGTGCCACGATGTCCAGCCGAGTTTAAGTTTTCGATTGGACACGGATAATCGTATTTTTCTGTATTTATTTCAGGATTTAACGACGTTATATTTTTAGTGGTAGGCAACGTTCACGTCGACAATGAGACGCCTGTGCTGACTTCATCAATCTCGAGATGTGCCAGCATAGTTTTTCAGACGCCTGTGTTGACTTCATCAATCTCGAGATATGCCAGTATAGTCTTTTCGGAGGTGCTCATAAGGGTAGGGTTTGCGTACGTGTATTCATAGGGATGAGTGTATGTGTGTGTTGAGCGTCTACATCTGTAACTGTGTAATTCGTAAAAAAATATTTATACATAGAAAGCAAATGACTGCCACAATTAGTGACATAGAGACAATAACCCAATTATACTAGTTTGTAATCGCTAGGACAAGTTATAAGTTAGGTTAAAAATTAGCTTAAATTAGCAGAGGTTGGCAAGCTAGTTTATATAACAAATATTTGAAGACTTGTCTAAATCATTTGCCCACCTATTAGCTCTTCCGTTTATATACACTATGGCTAATTTTAGTTTAAAATAGCTAGCTAGCAATTAGCTCTTGTATTAAATATGCTCTAAGATTGAAAATTTGTTCGGCAAAACTTATTATAGTAACCTTTGAGTGCACAATAATTTCACTACATATCTCTTATCTATCCGGAGAGTCCTCACATGTATGGCTGCATGCATGCTACTTAATTATATATACATGAGCATTGAGATAGCAGTGTTATTTTTATATATTAATTAATGCGTAATATGACGATATTGTAATCTACATCTATATCTTATAAAAATCTAAACTCTACTAAAGTTCTATCTCCACTTGCATTCAGTTTGTCATATGTAATGAGATAGTTGCCCCTGCATTCACAATACTGTCAAATTGAATTTACAATAGCAATATAGCATGTCTCTTTAATTCGCACCGGAAAAGGCTGCACTAAAAATGTGGCTAATTGGTTTGCGCTTGCGCTAAACCACCATGAAGCCTCGACCTTAGCCTCTTCAACCTTCAACCTGTACATGCCTCCACACCCCACCCCCTGGCCCCAGGAAGCAGAGAGAAGCACAAGGCGGGCCGCGCCGCGCCGCATCCCCGGACCGGCAGGTGGTGAACGCCATTACCCCTCCGCTCCCCGTCAAATAAACCCCTCCTCCCTCCCTCTCCCACCCTTACCGCGTCGTTGAGGGCTCTGCAGGCAATCACGCGCCGAGAGAAAAAGGGCATCGCGGCACAAGGGCTTCCCTCCGTCGCCCGGTCGAGGCAGAGTCGAATAACCCCGCGCACTGCCGCGCCGGGGCGTCCAATTAGCCGCCGCCGCGTCGCCATCGATCGCTAGAGGCGAGAGGGGAGGAGTGTTTCTCCTAGGCGGGCGGATGAGATGCCGGCGCACCGGAAGGTGAGGCCCGCGGGCGCGGCGGTGCGGCGTGCCGCGCTGCGGTGGTGGCTGCTCTCCCTCGCAGCCGCGGGCGCCACCGTCACCGCCGCCGCCGCGCTGCTCGCCGTCGCGCTCCACGTCTCCGGCCTCGCCGCGCCCTCCTCCGCCTCCTCCGGCGCGCCCTACCGCCTCTCGCAGCCGCGGGAGATCGAGGAGCTGCGGTGGGAGCAGGAGTTCGCACCGCCGCAGCTCGCGTCGCCACGAAAGGTGTTCGATTCTCCCACGGATGCTGTTTTGCTGCTAGTTGCCGCCGCTGTTGCTTTCTTTGTTCTGTCTTTTTTGAATTCACGGGAGCCTATGACGCCAGGATTAATCTCTAGATTTGACAGCTGGACGGCGTGGCGGACGACGCGGCGGGGAAGAGGCTGTGGCTGCCGGCGCCGGCGCCGGCACGGCGGTTCGTGCCCTGCGTGGCGCCGTCACCGGAGTACAGAAGTACGCGCATTATTGGCACACTTCGCCCCGACATCGATTTCTCGCCTCGTGGTCCAAATTCTTGTGCGCAGCTCTGATTTCGTTCATCTTGCATTGCAGGCCCGGTGGTGTCGAGGGGGTACTTGCTCGTACACACCAATGGAGGACTCAACCAGATGCGCGCTGGGGTAAGCTGGACCGTCCTGGTCGAAATTTATCACTTGCCTTACTGATGACCGAAGATATTCGTTGATTGATTTGCATTAGATGTGTTGACTTGAGTGGGGAGGGCTAATATCTCGCCGCGCCCCCCGAAAAAAAAAAAAAGCGTGGGAGAACATTGTCGTTCGGGCATGTGGGGTGTTTGATCAGAGTTGACAGTTTGTGAGCACCCATCAATAGCAGCTTTGCTTTTTTTGCATATATATTTTTGGTGCTCTCAATGTGCTTTTCCTAACTCTCAGTCTGTGGGACTGAGCAGTCCTTTGGTGCTTTAATCACGTGCAGTTGGTGTTCTGTTGCTAATGTTCCACTCTTTCTTAGTGATGTCAGATGTGCTTGATTAAGCTGTATATGGTGATTGAAAGTAAGCTGTTTGTTTCCCAATTAGTATTTTGTTAACTGAGTTACAGCGACACAGATTGAATGGCTCAACTGTGTCAAAGATAGAGTGCTTATTACTCCTGAGAATGGTTGGTGGGTGGATGTTGTCTCGTTGCCATTCCAAATTTCTTTTCCTGGTGCTTGGTATTGAGTATCATGCTCATTTTCGTTTTTCTGATTCTGATAAATGACACTTGTTTGGATGTGCCTCTGTCATATCCATGCCAAGCTTCAGTCATTATCTTGTTTTTTTCTTCATATCAGGATAAAGAAAGTTGTTTGTTTTATTAGGGGAGACCAAAAGCAGTTACACTCTGCTTGTGCATGCAGATTGTTAGATAACTGAAATTAACTACTAGTAGTGTTTTAGTTGTACTTGACTTTAAAGAATTAGGAGAATTTGGTATTTTTTCTTTAGGTTCCCTTAATTAATTATGGCTAAGATAACTGAAACCTTTTTTTTGTTTTGCCAATTGGTACTTTTCCTAATTTCCTTAACATCAGCTTCATGTGATTTGGGTATAGAAAGGGGAATGTTTCTTTATTGTTTATTTACTGCTGCGCTTTGTTTACTGTAGATTTGTGTTGCTAATGAATAATCATGGGTAGCTTCACTATAGACGCAAAATCCCTCAAATGTTTGTCTCCTTTTTAATAGAACATTCTTATTCTTATGGCAGATCAGTGATATGGTGGCAGTTGCGCGCATACTTAATGCTACACTCATCATTCCAGAGCTTGATAAGAAATCATTTTGGCATGACAAAAGGTAGGTCATATACTGGGTTTATTTTCAGCCTTCCATGAACTGATCTGAGACTGATGAGACCACTTTTTAATATCAGCAACTTTTCAGATGTCTTTGATGAAGAACACTTCATAAATTCTTTAGCTAATGATGTGAAAGTTGAGAAAAAACTTCCAAAGGAGTTGGTGAAAGCTCCAAAGTCTGTTAGGTACTTCAAGAGTTGGTCTGGAGTAGATTATTATGAGGACGAGATCTCTCCACTGTGGGACCATCGCCAGGTCTGAATTCAATCACCACTGTGCACTTCCATACTAGCCAATTCTAAGCAGCGATTACTAATGCAACGTTTGGAGCTGTGATACTGATTGATGATTTGTACTAGGTCATTCGAGCTGCTAAGTCAGATTCCCGCCTTGCAAACAACCATCTTCCTCCTGACATTCAGAAGCTTCGTTGTCGGGCCTTTTTCCAAGCACTGAGATTTGCTCCCCCAATTGAAGCTCTAGGCAAAGTAAATCATTCTCTCATATCTTCCCATCTCGATCATTAATTTCTCTGAAATGAATACAAGTGTTGTTTAGATAAGCAAAGATTAACTGATTTTCTTCCAGCTATTGGTGAAGAGGATGAGGTCATTTGGGCCGTATATTGCTTTGCATTTGCGCTATGAGAAGGATATGCTTGCCTTTAGTGGCTGCACATATGGTTTATCACAGACAGAATCAGAAGAACTTGCAATGATCAGGCAAGGCCTTATGGTTTATTTACACAGTCTTGCTTGTATTTTAACTGCAGTAGATGTTACCAGATGTTGAATCTAATTCTGCTCCTGTATCTACAGAGAAAACACAACCTACTGGAAGGTGAAGGACATTGATCCATTAGAACAAAGATCCCACGGGTACTGCCCCTTGACACCAAAGGAAGTCGGCATGTTTCTTTCTGGGCTAGGGTATCCATCAAGCACCCCAGTCTACATAGCTGCAGGGGAAATTTATGGAGGTGAATCACATATGGTTGATTTACAATCAAGGTTCCCTATTCTGATGAACAAGGTAGATCAACTATCATTCCATTTGTTATGTAACCTTTAATACAATTTTCTTTAGTTGCCACTTTGACATATGTCGTGTGCTCCATTGCAGGAAAAACTTGCCTCAGCTGAGGAGTTGCGGCCTTTCAGCCAATATGCTGCTCAAATGGCAGCTTTAGATTATATTGTTTCAGTGGAGAGTGATGTCTTTATTCCATCTTATTCGGGGAACATGGCACGGGCTGTTGCAGGTCACAGGCGTTTCCTTGGCCATAGGAAGACAATCAGTCCTGACAGGTACAATCACAAACCACTGCATTTCTCACTTCTCACTGTCCTCACAATTTGTTCTACTTTTTCGTTATGCATCTTATCATCTTCTTTCTTTGGTCCAGGAAAGCACTAGTTCGATTGTTTGACAAAGTTGCTAGTGGATTACTAAAGGAAGGGGAGAGGCTATCGCAAAGGATAATAGACATCCACCAGAAAAGGTATTAAACTGATGATATGCATGGCAACTAAAAGACACTGATGTGTGTTTGTTCCTTATTTTTGTTCTTGTTCTATACTTCAGACAAGGCTCTCCACGGAAGCGAAAAGGTCCGGTCTCAGGAACAAAGGGCAAAGACAGGTTTAGGTCAGAAGAGGCATTTTATGAGAACCCTTTTCCTGACTGCCTGTGTCAACCAGGGTCTCCAGCCAGCGGTGATTCTCTTGGCAGCATCTAAGCCACGAAACTAATCATCATCCTAGCAGATCCCTGGGTGTGATTCCAGTGTACATAGAAAGAAATTAAGAAACACGTAGCAAGGTGCACACTGACAAATCCACACTGATCAGAACTTCTGTGTAGCTGACATCATGCGCTAACCATCCGTTGGCACAAGCCATCGTCCAGCTGTGGCTGAACCGCTGAAGTACTGGCATGGTTGGGCTTGTTAGAAGTCAGAACAGCTGGAGGTGGAAGCAGGTGTATAGGGCTATAGAGAAGTCGTGTGATTTTGATTGGGATAATTATCTCAATTGCTTGTAAGTAGATGATAGTAATAAACAGAGAGAGAGAGAAATTACAGGAGCAGCTTGACAAACGTTTAACTCATATATGGGCAATTGGGCATTGAGTGCACTTCCGCCCATATAGGTTTCAGTCTGATTAGCAAGGGAACTCGCATTTTCTGCTAATTATTCTTGTGATAGTCATCTTCAGCCCACCTTTTTTTAGTAGAAGGATGAACTGAAATGAACTGGTACCCTGGACACTTTGTAATGGGAGTGGATCTGAGCTAGTTCCTGAACTTTCTGTAGTTAAATTGGAATGAATGTGTTGGCGTTCTTCTGATTTTATTAGATAAAGAGCACATTTTGGTACGAAATGCAGTAGTTGGTACCCATCTCTATTCTGTAACATCAAAGATTCTTATCTAAATTCTTTCGCCACAACACAAATCGATTTGGCATTTCGTGCGTGGTGCACTTTATAAAGCAACGAGCTAGTGTAGTTTACATCGCAATGGGAGATCGATAATCACATTCAAACATTTCGATTTCGATTTCTCAAGCAGGTGGAAGCCCAGAGATTCGATGTCTGTTTCCATCCTAGATCATGGATTGACACTTCGTGGATTAACACTAAGCACCAAGTTGCAGTTGAGAACAACGAACAAGTCTCAGCCATAAGATCAGTCCAATAATTGTAACAACCTAAAAATCCACACACCAAAAATCACAACTATAATTTTTTTTTTATTTAAACCCTATGTGATGTTGAGTGATACATGTAGAAGCCAAACCTTAGTTTTGGATTAGATGTGACCCAACTATGTTAAAATCATAAGCATAGCTTGGTTTTATGCCATATGTGTAATTAAATTCCTAAATAAATAAATCATGCATGCATCCTTAATTCCACTTGTGATTTGGATTCTTTTGCCTTATGTGATGTTTAACTAACTTACTTAATATTTATGATAAACCCTAAATAATGAATTATTTGTTGGAAGAATAAAACACCCTTATATAAAAACTTCAACTATTTTTGTATAACAAAAATAACCAATAATCCCTAATATATGGGATGTATTTTGACCACCATTTAAAACACCTTGTGGGACCCACTACATAACTCGAAGCTCAAGTTTAAACTCTAACTAAATTTGAATCGAAGCAAAAGAAAGAAAAGAGAAACGAACAGAAAAAGAAAAGGAAAAAGAGGGAGAAGCAGCAGCCCAGGCCTGCTTGGCCTTGCGAGCCAGCCGCCTCGACCGACCCAAATTTGCCCAAATGCAAGCCTCGCCTACCCTTTCACGCTTGTATCCACGGCCCAGCCAGTATGCCGCCACCACCGCAGCGCACTGACCCGGCCGACAAGCCGGGCCCGCTTCGGCGATCATCACGCGCCCGCCGCGCACCCAACGCACCAAGCGCTGACGACCCGACCACGCTTGTCGGCCTGATGGCGTCTTCTTCCCCTCGCCCACGCGTTCTCCCCGCGTGCGATCGGGGGCCGACTAGCGTGGCAGACGCGGGCCAGGGGGTCACGCAAGAAGCATGACCCTGTTCCCCCTTGCGCGCGCCCTACGCTACCGCCGCGCGGGCCGTCGGATCGCCCGCCGCATCACCACCGCCCGATCGCCGTCCCGCCATTGAGCCCTTGGAGCTCGGCTATAAAAGCCAACGCCCATGAGCCCTAACCCTCACCCGTTCGCGCATTTGCTACCGGTGGCACAACCACACCGCGTCAAGCCGAGAGAGAGGGAGGAGGAAGAAGCAAGGAGGAGAAGGAAGCCGCTGCGGAACCGGACCTCGCCGGAGCCAGGGCGCCGCCCGATCAGCTACATACGCCGACGTAGCTGCTGCTAGGCGCAACATTTGCATCGCCTCATCACGGCCTCGCCTCGCCACCGCACCGCCATCCTATCGCCACGAGCCCCTACGGTGAGCCACGTGCTCGCCGCTCACCGCGCTTAGCCGTACTACGCCCATGAACGCCACCGCGCGTTCCACACTGAGGAACGCAGCAGAGGCAGAGCATTCCCGCTCCTGGACACGCACCGCACGCGCACAAGCCCAAGGCCTGGCCTCATCGACCCCTAGCGGCTCGGGAACACCGGCACAACCACCCTGCACGCCATGGCCGAGAGCACAACCATGGCGAGACCACCGCGTCTTCTACGTCGTGGTAAAGGCGATGTTGACACCCCGACTGGCTCCGCCATGACGAAAGACACACCGCACTCACCTTAGCCGAGGATGAAGCCCACGAGCCTGCGTTGCCGCACCACACCTCGTCGGAGCGCCACCGCCTCCGCTTTGCCCCCACCACCATGGTCGGAGGCATTGAGAGCTCCCGAAGCCCCTTCGACTTGCTCGCCATGGCCGTAGCAGCGTCGGGGAGCTCGTGCGCACCACCAATCTTTGGTACCGCCGCCACCGCGGTCAGCCAACTAGAGCCGCCTGGCCACCACGTTAACTTCATCGAGGCACCCGCCATGGCAAGGCCAAGCTTTTTCCCACCTTAATTGCACACCCACGCCGCTGGAGGGGCTCGCCGGTGAGCTCACCACCGGCGGGAGCACGTCGGGGAAGAAGATGGGGATTTTCCCCTCACCGGCCACACGTCCGTGCACTTGGTGCACGTGAATCAAACCCTGGGAAGGAGTAAGTGGACCAAGTCCTTCATAGACCGGCTCTGCGGTCTATGGACCAACGCAGGCGGGTTCACCATGAATCGCGCCTCACCTGTCAGTCACCATTGACCGAGACCCACCTACCAGCCGTAGTTTAGCTCTGATGACGCCATGCTGATGTCATGCCGAAGATGAGACCACGCCAGCGTCTGGGACCTCGACGATCTTTCCGAGCACCTCGGCGATCTCTCCGACCACCTCGGCGACCTCTCCGACCACTTCGGCGACCTCTCCGACCACCTCGGCGATCTTTCCGACCACCTAGGCGACCTCTCTGACCACCTCACCAGCCGATACCCCACTCTAAGTCCCTACATGCCACGTGAACCAGTCACAGTGTGACACGTGTCAGCCCTGAATCAATCAGCCTTCATTATTTTTAGAAATGGATTTAATCTTCGGAAATTCATAACTAATTCATACGACCTCGAAAAATACAAGACTAGGACCAAAATTCATCTAAAATCGAGCTCTACGTAATGAACCCATGTTTGAGTGCATTTGGCTCTTTTGAATTTTCATTGCTTTTTGTGCTAATCTATAGACGTCGCTAACGCGACTATAATGCGATCGTTTGTAAACTCGGAGGAGAACCAGACGGACGAGGACCGAGAGTATCGTGAGGAGTACGGAGAAAACTTCACTGAAGGTGCCACATCCCACCTAACCTCGTAGCACCTATTACGTATGGCTAATATAGAACTGCTATTGCTTTACTTTATTGTTATTTTCACACTACGATAGGACTTGCATGGTAGTATGCTTACTTGATGGCCTTTATCTTGACGCAACCTTACCCCTGCTTACCCTGCTATTAGGCTAGACACACGCTTGCTGCTATATTTCATTGCTTATTACTTCTACTACGCTTGTACTACATTGATGCGTGGTGGAAACTGGTGTTATCTGGACTATGGGGAGAGTGCTGCGTGTGTGACTTGGGTGCGTGGAGGGCGATGGTTGTGTCGACCAAGTTGGAATATACGACGAGCCAGGGGCAAGTCTTGCCGCAGGGTGCTACCTGGGCACCCTTGGAAATGGATACCTGTGGTGGGTAAATGGTATATGTTGTGGCCTTGGGTGTGAAGCTGTGATGGGAGGAGCCCAGGGTGGAGGTGCTGTGGTGGCACGGTAAATGGAAACCCTAATGAAGACATTCTGGCTTGGTCATCCCTAAGGACTTACTAGTACTTAGATTCACCGGGAAGCCTTACGTACCACTCGCCCTATATGGTGCGGGACGGCCGGACTACTTGGTAGGATATTGCCACTACTGCTAGGTTGATAGCGGACAGTGCGAGGGAGGTACAGGGGGGAGGATTCCCTCCACACCCTTTCGAGACTTCATGGAGACCTTGTGGACCCGGCTCATGACTCACAGTTTCAGCCACCCCAGACTAGACTTGGGGTGTACTAGGGCTGAATGGTAGAGTGGCATTATCCTAGGCTAGCAAGCGGCTGGAATCAGCCCAGTTGATGACGGTCAGCGAGGAAGGCGGATCTTGTGGTTATGTAAAACCTCTGCAGAGTGTATAGTTGATCGATCGATACATATGCCGACTTGTCGGCTATGGACCTTTCCTGGGTTTCGCTTAAACTAGATAGTGAGATGAGTCCTTCTCTTCTCCCCTGGGAGTGAGTGTCCGGACGTAGCCAGGGGCTACGGGCCATGAGACAGTGCCGAGAGGGAGTTGGCCTGTCGACTGAGCGATGGTATGGTTGTGATGTGGTGATAATGTGGAGATGGTGGTATAACGATCCCAGGATCGAAACCTGGCTCTAGACGGAAATGGGGTGGAATGGGTGTGGGAATGGTGTTTAAACTTGACCAACTATTAATATATATATACTTGATATGCTAAAGCATAGGAAACCTCAGCCTTATAGGTTCCTTTTGAATATATCCAACTTACATCCAATTTCCACAAAGCAATGCTCATAGGGTGGGAGTGGCTAGTACAAATCATACTGATAAATTTTGACACACAGGATCTGCTGAGGAGTATAGCTCTGAGGAGTTTGACGGTTGAGGGGTTCGTTCC